GTTTTTTGTTAACACTTTGGACAAATTCTAAAAAATGCTAGAATTAATAATGGCGGGAATGATATCGTGTATTAAATTCAATTCCTGGTAACGATTACTGTAACATTGTAATTTGCAATTAACGTTAATAATCTCGTCACTTAGAGAAATATAATATATTATTAATAATACTGTATTAAAGTACAATATTTAGATATAGAATGGTAACTAGAATTTGAACGAATTATAAAAAAGTAACCAGAATTTTAACTAATTACAAAATAGTAACTAGAATTTTCCAAAACACGTATACTTCCCCGACAAAGTAAAATTAACAAATTGTACTTCGTTGAAATTTTATTTATAAATAACATAAATTATAATAACACCGAGAATATATAAATTTTAGGTTAGAAAGTACACTACTTTGTTTCAGACGTGGAAATTACAACAATAAAAAGAACAAAAAAGAAAATCCAAAAGAATGTTCGTTGCAACGAGATGAAAAGATAAAAAAAAAAGGAACCCCGCAGAAATAAAAAAAAGAGACCAAAAAAAAAACAAAATGGTCAATATGGTTGGATTTAAAGCGAGGGGGGACGACTCTTGTCCAAGACGTTAACCTAGGAAACGAATAAATTTACACCGCCCTCCATTATTACGTCATGCAGCCAATATAATACGGCAGTAAGAAGTCAGACTGAAACGTTATAGCGATGATTCATAACCTTTCAGAGAGTGTGTGTGTGTGTGTTGTGTGTCTTTAACCGACAACTGTGACTATGACGATGACGATGACGATGACGATTCGAAGGTAAAGTCAATTGAAATACAACGAAGAATTATTTCAATATATATATATATATACAAGAAACAATTTAAATTTGGTATACTAAAATTCAAATTATTTCATATTTCCCGGTCATATGAAAAAAAAAATCAATCGGCCATCTTGAATATTTTTCTTTTCATTACGTAGTCGGCCATTTTGATTTTCTTATGAAAATGGAATATAACAGGTCAAAGCAAAATAATATATATGTGTGTCGTCGTCGTCGTCGTCGTCGTCGTCGTCGTCTGTCTGTTTCCGTAATTCTCTTGTTTATCGATGAAAGAACATATTTTTGCACTTCATCTATATAAGATTACTGTTAAAATGTTAAAGAAAAAAAAAACAGATAAGTTATATTATCTCGAATGCTTATCTCTCTTTGAGTTTCTCTATCTGGCTGCGCTATATTTTACTGTCTCGATAAGAAAATCGTTTTTACGATATCGAACATATCATATATATATATATATATTACAGATATATATGTGATATGTATATATCAGAGTATGTATAAGATTACAGAAGCTGCGAACATAATTTTTTTAAGTTCGATACATCTATACAGTGATTTATAAATTTTTAGATAATTTAATATTCTTTTTTTTGTTGTTCTACAAAAAAAAAAATTGTAAAACTATGAGTAAGTAAAAGACTTGTAAAAAAGCAATTTGATTTTAAAAAAACCTAACCTCAAATTTTAAATAAATTTGGAAAAATGGCTTGGAAATGTTTGTTCTAAAAAAAACTTCTTTTTTTATTTGACCCAGAAAGATCCTAAATAAATTCATTCCAAAAAAAAAAAAAAAAATTATAAAACTACGAGTGTGTCTAAGAGGACTTCTGGAAACAAATATGAAAAAGAAAACCTAACCTCAAATTGTAGATATATTTCAAAAAATGGTTCAGAAATATTTGCTCTATAAAAAAAAAAATTATTAAACTACGAGTACATGTAAAAAGTTTGAAGAAACGATCTGATAAAAAAAAAAAACTGAACCTAAAATTTTCAAAGAAATTTAACGACGTAAGAGACAACATAATATGTGAGGTTAGAATTTTCTTTCATGAATAAAAAGTTTAACACGTTTAACGCGAATAATTTTTCTTTTTTTTTTTTCAACTAATATTACAAGAAAAAGAGAGAACATGTAAGAAAAAAGAAAAAAAAAACCTAGATGATGCATTTTATCCGATAATTAACATTACATGGAATATTTGAACAGGTGCACAAGTGTTTAGTAGAGAATCTAAAAGGATTTGAAATGTTACTTCGAAATATTACATTAACATGATGACATTTTTTTTTTTTTTTTACACGAACGATAAAAATATTTAAATGGATTATTTAATGAAACGATAAATGAATTTAGAAAAAAAAAAGAGAATAGAGAAAGAAAAAAGAAATGGTGACGGAAAGAAAAGGATCTTCAGGGTTGCATTGCAACACGAAAATGCCCGATAATGCCCGACAATGCACGAGAATGTACGACACAATGAATGAAATACCACCACGCTAATTAAAAGAAAGATAGAAAAATGATGACACCTTTTTTCCCGATTAGTCTTAGGTTAGTTCATGAATAATTGTTCAATGCAACCTAAATGCAACTTGAATGCAACTTGAATGCAACTTGAATGTAATTTCAATGCAATTAAATGCAAATACTTATCGACAATTACGATTTGACACTAATCGATAATACTTTCATCATATTTGAATTCAATCAAAATTGGAAAATAAGAAATATAATCTTAATGAACATATCAAAAAGAAAAAAAGAAAAAAAAAATCAGGTTGACTTTATCGTGGGTCGATAAGGAAACATTAAACTGTTACATTGTTTCAAATCTTACGTAACTATTGTAAAATCCCCCCCTCCCTTCTACTCCTCCTCTCTTCTCCACCGCCATCTATCTTTTATGTATTACATGTTTAATTACTTAAGAAGAAACAAAATAATCTCTCAAATATTACGTTTTGTAATCTTATAGGATTATATTGTGAAATGAAATAATAATAATAATAAAAAAAATTTTAAAAGATAAGATTTGACTCGCGTTGTATGGGGCAGAGAGAAACGAACGACAGCGAGAAAGAGGAAAGAAAATATTATCGTGAAAAAAATATAGAAATATAGAGAAGTAGCAATAAGATAATATCGAAAAAGGATGTAATCTATCTTGTATCGATATATATCGATTTATAAGTTAACAACTCTCCTGACATGCATGCAGCAGCAACACCAACCAACCCACGACGGGATAAGAATTCTAATCTCGCGACACAACGTTATAAACGTTGGGGCAACGTTCTTCTAAAACTCACGACTTTTATTTTAATATATTTTTTCGTAACCATACTCTAATTAATCACATTAAAAAAAAAAAAAAGAAAACCACATTTAAAGATGATCTTTTAACTAAATTAAATGCATTTCCGGTTCCTCAAGAAAAAAAAAAAATCAAATTCAAACTCGTATAAATAAAATCTTTCAAGAAAATTAATTAAAAAAAAGAGAATGAAAAGATTTTTTTTTAAACAATTGAACATTTAAAAAAACGATAATAAATTATTAAATAAAATTATTAACAATAGTATTAAATTATAATGATTAAATAAAAAAAATTAAAATTAAATCAATTGTAAATTGTGACAACTTTATCATCGATAAAATAAAATATGATAAATTATCACAAATATTTATAATATAATAAACTAAGGGGTCGTTTATAATTAAAAAAAAAAAAAAGAATGAAATAAGATAGATATAATATAATAGAAATATATAGAAATAGAAAGAAAGACACGCCTCGTAATCCTTTGAGGTTATGGTCGTTCGCCTTCGTCCAACTTCGTGTCTAACTACGTCGTCGTTTGTCTCACCCGAGAAGCACCGAGCTAAGCCGAAAGCACTATACGACGCTACTTTCACGATGGTACGAGCTAAAACGAACGAATGAGGGAACGAACGAACGCGACGAACGACGAACACGAACGAACGAACGACTGACTGACGCGACGAACCAACGAATGAGAGAGAGAGAGAGAGAGAGAGAGAGAGAGAGAGAGAGAGAGAGAGAGAGAGAGAGAATGGGCCAAGTACGCGCAAGCGCATACACAAATAAAGATAAAAAGAGACAGAATAAAAGGATAGATAGATAGATGATAGTAGTAGTAGTAGTAGTAGACATAGAAAGCTCGAAATTCCTCGCGTGAGTGCTTCTTGAGACTTGGAAAAGAAGGTTTTGACTTTAGTAGTAGTTAATAGTGTGTAAAGCTTTTAGCCTTTGAAAATTTAGTCGAGGTCAATTATAAGAAAATGATTATTAAACCAGGTGTACATTCTAGTAAGCAAGTAAGATGATTTTTGTTAGATACATGATACAAAATAGAAAAAGGGTTTTCTTTTTTAAATGTATCTTTCTAGAAAGTGAAATGATAAAAAATGAAATTAGGTTAAATACAAGCAGGTAGTAGTAGTAGTAGTAGTAGTAATATGAACAATTAACTAGCAAGGTTTTAGGTAATAGTAGTAGTAGTCTGAACAGTTAACTAGCAACGATTCTAGGTTCAGTAGGTGTGTTATTTCTATTGGTAGGTTGTAATATCTTTATGCATTAGCTTTGCTGTTTGTCTGTCTGTCTGTCTATCTATCTCTCTCTTCTTTTGCGTCGCAGAACTCACGATTAGTGTTGTATGCCCCCGCTGGGTGAGATCGATAAGTCTCCTTCTGACTCTAACTCAACTCTTCTGCTGTTCTTCTAATAATTTTCTTGAGATTTTTAGGAACAAATTACTTGTTGACAGGTCTAATAGTTTTCAAAGACTGAACTGGTCGAACCAGTGATCAAAAAAACCTATTTGGAAAAGAAGGTTCACGAAGAACCAGGAAAAAGAAAGAGGAGGGGGGAAGGAGGAGGTTCATTAAAAAGAAATTAATAAAAAAGAAAAATGATTTCTTATCTTAACTACAGTTAAATAATCGTCATTAATTGATGTATATGTGTGTTATAATGATTTATACAAGAATTTGGTTAAATGTCATCCAATTGTGTGAGACTTATGACTATATATATATATATATATATATATGAAGATAAATGTATTAATTAAAAAAAAAAAAAAAAACCAAGATGGCGGTGATAATATAAAATGTAACGCACTATAGCGTTATTTGGGTACACCTACCTATTTGTTATAGTCTCTTTGTACAATAATACTTATTTAAATATCACGAGAGATAGATCTGGTGATCGCTGAGGGTGACGACGACGATGACGACGACGACGGGCGTTTATAGAACAACCGACGATTTCCTGGGTTTTTTTTTTTAAATTTTCTTCGATCACCGGACGAAGAAAACGCCACGAGATATATATATATATATATATATAGTTAAGATGATTAAACTTTAAATATATATATAAATATATATGTAGAAAGAGAAAGATAGAGATAGAGTAAAAAATAGAGAAGACGAGACGGAGGGGTTGAAGATACACCGAATTTTCTTTCGACGAAGGTGGTGGTGGGGAAAAAAAAGAACTGACTAGACACCACGACGTAGAACAACGATGACAACGACGAATTTTTTTTTTTTTTTTTTAATTTTAATTTTACACGTTCGCGGGTGGAAGAAGAAGAAACGTGCTTCTTTTTTTTTTTTCTTTTGGTTTGTTCAAATTATTCGCGCACGCTTCTCATAAGCAAGAGAGAGAAAGAAATATATATATATATATATAGCTGTACACTCTCTGCTAGAAATAAAAAAATGTCGAATATTAGATAAAAACCGAGATAATAATTATAATAATAATAATATATATGTGTGTAACTACGGACACGAACAAGGAATTAACGGAGACAAAACGCTTCTTTTCTTCTCTTCGAGGGGTATATTCGGGTTTCTTTTACTTTCTTCTTTCTTTTTTTTCCTTTTTTTTTTTTTTTTGATACTTTAGTCGCACTCGGTTACGATACCGCACATCCCTTGGTGACCACTCCCGCACAGCGACTGAGCCGGCAACGCCGCTCGTTGGTGGGGACTCGGACTGCCTCGTGCCGGGGAACTCGGTAATATTCGATCCGATTCGTCTAACTTCGCGTTTCTTCGTTATTACTCGTAGCACGAGGATTCCCGAGTGTATTTTATTGATCCGCATGGAACCATTTGGGTGGGGCACACCGCCGCCGCCGCCGTCGTCGCTGCCGCCGCTGCTGTTCGTTCGCTTGCTCGGTGTTCCTCGTCCCGGGACGAGGAACACCGCGCCGGCACGACGCCTAGCGTCGCAACGCTACGCTACGACGTCAGATATTACCCCCACTACAATTCTATATCTTATTTTCGTTTTACTTCTTCTATTAGACATCCCCTTTTTCTTCTTCACTTATTTCTTTTTACCTTTTGGAAATGGTTACTTTACATACGTTCATTTTTATTTTTTAATATTTTATTTTATAGATTTTTATTATTTTATATTTTTAATTTATTATTTTATTATCTTATTCTTATATACTTCTATTTTATCTTTATATATTTTTTTTTTATTATATTATTTTAGTATTAAATATATATTTTAATTTTAATATTAAATTTTATTATATTTTTTATAATTTATTATTTTATTATTATATTTTTATTTTTGTTTCATTATTTGTATTTTTTCTAGAACTCTTTCAGGTTTTTTATTTTATTTTATTTTAATTTTATTTTATTTTATTGTTTAAATATATTCAGACCCTGTTTTTATGGCAACTACTGAAAATTGGTACGAACTTTTACAGATAATATTTAATATTAATATGTATGAGAATATATTTAAATATTAATGAATAATATTGAATAATTATTTGTTATTTAATTAATTAATTTGTTATTATTCTTTCAATTATATTCGTTAGTAAATTATTATCATTTTTATATAATTACTTTGTTATTCTATCTCTCTCTTTCTATCTATTTTCTTTGATAATCTTTTGTGAAAATTAATCGCCTTCTCTACTACCTTAGCATCTTTTATCTCGAAATTGTAATAAAATACCATACACGGTAATAATCTTAAATTTTCTTTTGTCTTTCTATGTTAAAAGCAATGTTTTCTTTTGTATAACATAACGACACGATGAAGAAAAAGATACACGTCCTACATCATCCAACATCAAACATAAATATATATATATATATATATATAGATATAATATGTATTTCATATAAATATTTATTATAAAATTAAAACAAAATTAAAAATAAATAAAATGAAATAAAATATAAAAATATTTTAATTTTAATATTTTAATATTAATATAATTATTTTAATAATATTATTTAGTAATAATAAATAATAATAAATAATATATAAATAATATATATTTGGTGTGGTAATAAATTAATAAAATTATGATAAATGTGTTTGATCTATAATAGAAAAATTGTAATAAAAATTAATTCTTAATCAAATGTTTGCGTGTTTCTTTCTCACGGGGTATATATATATATATATATATATATATGTAATCTGGTATTATTTATGTTAAAACATCATCGACCCTTTAGATAGGAGTTGACTTTTTGAACGTAAGCATACGCCCACGTTTCTCGAAAGACACGTAGGATCAAGAGCGCACAATTTACTCGGGTCAACGTTCTCTCTTTCTCTCTCCTTTCTCTCCTTTTTCTTTCCTTTTTCTCTCCCTTCATTCTTTCTTTCTCTCTGTTATTTTTCTATTTTTTCTCACTCCCACGTTCTTTTACTTTTCACCCCCTTAACTCCCTCCCTACCACAACAACCTACACAACTCATATACACAATAATTTGTTTTGAAAAATAAAAAATCATACATTTTAAACTATATATATATATATATATAGGGACATGTTAAAAAATAGAGATATATTTTTCTAGGGAAAATAATATACAGTTCTAACAAAATTTCTTAGTCTGATAAGATTATCTCTTGGGGATATTTTTCTATTTTTGATAATTGAGAAATATTCAAGAAAAATAATAACATATTTTTTATTTATGGTATAATAATGATTTTTATTATAACAACGCATCCAATTAAACCCTTTGAATGCTATGGGCACATATATGCGTCCAGAAAAACTATTGGTGCGGCATATGGGCGTATATATGTGTCTAGTGAAAACCATTGGTGTCATCATGGGCGCATATATGCGTCCAACAAACGTTACTGCAGCATCATGGGCGCATATATGCGCCCAACTAAAATGTTACCGTATCATCGTGGGCGCATATATGCGTCCAACTAAGCCATTACCGTATCATCATGGGCGCATATATGCGTCCAAATAAGCTGTCAGTGTGTCATATGGGTGCATATATGGGTCCGACGCAATTCATCGATATAGACTTATGGACGCAAATGCGCGCTTGGCAAAGTATAACCTTTTGCTTAATTTTTTGTTAATCGATAATACTGAACAATAATAATAAAAATAATGCAACATAATATTATTGTACGATTATCTGAATTATCAAAAATAATTGTCATGAATTTTTTGTCTTATTAAATTCTCTAACCAATTTTCATTTATACAGACAATACGCGTTACAGTTTTTTTTTTATGTAATATCAAATAATTGAAAATTTATAAATAATTTCATATTAAAGTACAGTAATAATAATAAATAATAATATTAAAGTATATCATATTGATTCAATTTCAAAATGCTTCGAACATATTAAAATTGAAATGAAGATTTGTTAACATCGTTAATAAGATATTTGATTTATACAAAATATTGATTCAGAGATTTCATGGGTTGTGAAGGTAGGGGGGTGGTTAAGGGTGAAAGTGGGTCTGATTGTTGATGATATTACTTGAAAAAAAAAAAAAAAACTAATTAATTATCCGTTATTTTCAAACTGACACACACATTTTTTTCTTTTTATATATAAAACACACAATTTATTGAAAACATTCAAAATATAAAACAAAACCAAATAAAAACAAACAAAAAGTTAAATGATAAAAGAAATAATGTGACCACGAATTACAATTAACGATAGTTATCATAAATGATGGATGATATATATTCACACATGTGTGTGTGTATATATATATGCATACACATACACACCAGCTTATGGGAAGAGTATCATCATCTAGTTATCTTAATTAACAATCAAAATTAACCCGTATATAGGAAATGCTCTTATATGATGCAACAACCTATCGATCGATAATAGGAGGGGTAGATAATTATTGTAACGCGATTATCTCTACATTTACATCCTATGTAAGATAATTTAAAAGGATAACAATTATGATAAAACCAACGTACACGAAGTATGAAATTGAAACAATATTTCAAAAATATTTTATATCAACATTTTTTCAATATACAATAATAATAAAACAGTAATGAAATAATTTATTATACAATAGGGATTATACAGCCCTTATCCTCTCATTCATTTTCTTTTAAATCTAATTTTTATTTTAATTATTAATTGTTTCACAACAACAACAACAATTACAACAATTTATACGAAAAGTTGGAAGAATATTTCAAATATTTTTTTTTTTGTTCACGAATATAAAATAATAATAAAGTAATTTATTATACAACCACCCCCACCCCTAAACCCTAATTTTCTTTCAAATCTATTTTTTTTTTTTTTAATTTTAATTATTAACACGNTTATCTTTCAAAATGTTAACAAGTTTTATTTTTATCTTTTAGGTATTACAAATATTTGTTATGTTTGACAAGAAATTGTTTTCAAATCTATTTTTTTTTTTTTTAATTTTAATTATTAACACGTTGTGCGTCGCGTGAATTCTTAGGTAAATTCCCGTTCAGGCCACAGGTGTAATTTTGTATTGAAAAAATAGTTGAGTGTCAGTCACCGATGGCTGACGTGGCGCTCAACGTGTTAAACAACCCAAACAAGTTTAATAAAAAAAGAATTTTATTAATAAATTGATTAATTTTATTCTACAAAATATATCGTTCGATTTTTCTTTAAAAAATATCTGAAAAAAAATGAAAAAAAAAAAGAAAAGAAAAAAAAACATTGAAGTGCCAAATATGAATAATTAAATAATTTCAAACGAATGTTAAAGTATCTTTTGAAAAAATGAAAAAATAAATGTTGAAGAAGAGAGAGTGGTGAGGTTAGGGTAGGGTAGGGTAGGAGGGTAAGGAGAAAAAATTTGTATAAAATTCCATGCAGAAAAATGTGGGCCATTTGATGATTTTATTAGAAGGAATAACCCAGAAAAACAAGGGGAAACCATGGGACGACCTTTGGGATGGTGTTTTCTAGGTAATAATAATCTTATCCTAACACGTAAATAGTTGGTTGGTGGTAGTAGTGAAGTTTTATCTGGAATGTTACTTTAAAGTATAAGACCCTTGGGGGTTACAAACTTAGATCT